GTGTGTATACCTTTAATCATAACAAATTCTCAATTCATAAAATACCAACAGTGAATACAATATTAACCACACCTAGTTCCCTTTTTACTGCCCAGTATCTCTATGACCGGGGGTGTGCACACCTGAATGATCGATCACTTAGCAGTATTGTCAATAATTACAGCGCATATATTCTTCCCCCTTTCGCAATTCTCCACCAAAAATGTTATGCTCATACAAAGCACACGGGATCTTTATAGAGGAAGGTAAATACACAGCATTTATTGAGAATATCACAGTTAGCATATGCTTTTTAGACACACACACACAGTCCTGCAGTGATGTTTATAGTACCAGTCCAGAGTCTGGATCAATCTAGTGGCCAGCCAGATTGGTCGCATAGGGGAGCGGGGTTCTATCGGTCGCGATCCGATGCTCCTGGAGTGTGGCAAGACGAACCCAAAGTCCTATGGCAAAGCACCCTGTTCTTATAGGTTTTCTTCTCTGTTGAAGCCTATGGATTTTGCTGTGTCACTTTGTGACCGGTTACTTCTTAATTGGTATAAACATTCCAATATACCTCCGAGAGGGTCATCCTGTCCTTTGTTCCGATTTAATCAATTGTCTTTAGGGGTGCCAGCCTTTACCTCACGGTCGTCAATCTGCCCTTCATTATGGATGCGTGTTGATGATTCTTTGATGTCCTTTAAGTTTTTTCAAGTTTCTTCCTTGACTGGCTGGGATGAATGCGCTCACTCCTCGTGAGTCTAGGAGAGCTCTGATGAATTCTGTGGATTGTGATGGAATCAGGTTCAAACTTTAAGTTGAAACCAGAGATGAAACAAATTAATCATTTTCTTTGCTGCCCCTATGACCTGCATTAGTGACCTCCCCTGCACAAGCCCTTTCTCTAGGAAAGGGTAAATATGCAACCCTTGTCTGCATGGATGGGCTGCAATTACTGATAGGCAGTCTGTAAACACCCTTAGTACTGATGAAATTCTGGAGATAGTACTGTGAATCAATAATGACTCCCCAGGGCCATAGAACTTTGTGCCAGGTGTATTGACACATGAAAATAAGCATCCTGTAATTGAGGGTAATGAACCAATCCATGGGATCCACTGCAGGGATAACTGGAGTGAGAGTTACCACATGGACCTTGGCATATCGAATGAATTTATTGAGGTTCCTGAGATCAGACGCAAACCACCTTTCTTTTTCAGTGTAAGTAAATAGGGTTGCGGGGCGTATATGTAGAGCAGTCTGTATATGTACATAGGGAGGTCCCTTGTATCCACCTGAGAGATCTTGATGTAACTTTCATGGGGGTAACTGCAATCCGCTCCTGAAGGTTTCTAGGGAAGGCAGCCTTATTTCTTTCTCCGTGGTAGGACACTTTCCCATGGCACTCCACAATGAGTTAGGTTTGCACCACTCTATTAAACAGGCTAGTGGCATACAGGCTTGGGAAGCTTCAGGACACCAGTGACAGCTGTGCTCTGTGCCTTTGCAACCTTCAGGAATGAGATATTAGCTAAAATCACCACTGCGTGTGGGAAAAAGTGCCAATATTCAGTGCCATTTTCCTATACTCGTGCCCATAGTTTCACGTACACTGATCTTTGAGAACCACAGCTGGAGTATGTGTGGCCAAATGCACTATATTAGTGCACTGAAATGGACAGAAACTTTCCAATTTTAAAGTTTTGTTCCATTAAGTTATATGTTTGTATTGTATTGCCTTGCACATTTCTGCATTGTTTTTGCCACTCAAATGTCTGTTTTTTGAAAATAAAATCTTTATTAGTTCACAACACATATTGCAGAATGCATAGGTGGTACACTGGTAAGTGTACAGCACCACTGAACTCATAGGTTCAAGAAAACACTCAGTCATATGGATAAATGTACAGCAAGCACCAAATAATTCGTAGGTTCAGGAAAACACACACTGTAATATCTATAAATATGCAGCAAGCACTACACAATTCCGATAAGCACCCAAAGCTTCAGGGCCAGAGAACAGTCCAGTGCAAGTCACTATTGGGGCTGGCCACTCAAGTGCTCTTTCAAAGCCTCTCTCATATGCCAGGTTTCAGAGTAGCAGCCGTATTAGTCTGTATCCGCAAAAAGAACAGGAGTTCTTGTGGCACCTTAGAGACTAACAAATTTATTTGAGCATAAGCTTTCATGGGCTAAAACCCACTTCATTGGATGCATACAGTGGAAAATGCAGTAGGAAGATATATATACACAGAGAACATGAAACAATGGGTGTTACCATACACACTATAACGAGAGTGATCAGTTAAGGTGAGCTATTACCAGCAGGAGAGAAAAAAAAACTTTTTGTAGTGGTAATCAAAATGGCCCATTTCCAGCAGTTGACAAGAAGGTGTGAGGAACCGTAGGGGGGAAAAATTAACATGGGGAAATAGTTTTACTTTGTGTAATGACCCATCCACTCCCAGTCTTTGTTCAAGCCTAATTTAATGGTGTCCAATTTGCAAATTAATTCCAATTCAGCAGTCTCTCATTGGAGTCTGTTTTTGAAGCTTTTTTGTTGTAATATTGCGACTTTTAGGTCTGTAATCGAGTGACCAGGGAGGCTGAAATGTTCTCCAACTGGTTTTTGAATGTTATAATTCTTGATGTCTGATTTGTGTCCATTTATTCTTTTACGTAGAGACTGTCCGGTTTGGCCAATGTACATGGCAGAGGGGCATTGCTGACACATGATGGCACATATCACATTGGCAGATGTGCAGGTGAACGAGCCTCTGATAGTGTGGCTGATGTGATTAGGTCTTATGATGGTGTCCCCTGAATAGATATGTGGACAGAGTTGGCAACGGGCTTTGTTGCAAGGATAGGTTCCTGGGTTAGTGTTTTTGTTGTGTGGTGTGTGGTTCCTGGTGAGTATTTGCTTCAGGTTTGGGGGCTGTCTGTAAGCAAGGACTGGCCTGTCTCCACAGATCTGTGAGAGTGATGGATCGTCCTTCAGGATAGGTTGTAGATCCTGGAGAGGTTTTAGTTGGGGTCTGAAGGTGACGGCAAGCAACAAGGACACTCAGAAGACTGAAAACTCCAACAGAGGAGGCGGGCCCAGGTTTCAAGGGTGAAACCTATGTATTATGAACTGCAATATCCAGTGGGGTGAGGAAAAACTGCTTAACCTAGATGTTGCCCAGTCTAATAGGGTTGAGAGTTTATTTTATTTTGGTAACCACTCTGACTTTTTGTCTATCACTTACAATTACTTAAAATCTGTCTTCTGTAGTCAATAAACTTGTTTCACTGTTTATCTTTACCAGTGAGTTTGCCTGAAGTGTTTTGTAAAGCTGAGCAGATTTACCAAGACTGGTGTATATCCACATTCCATTGATGAAGTGGTGAACCAATTAATAAACTTGCACTGCTCATCTTGAGCAGTGCAAGACGGTATATTCCTGAGGTACAAGACTGGATGCTGAGGGGATTCGACTGGTGCCTTTCTCTGTGTGATTCATGAGTGGCTCTGGGAGCATTCATGCAATCTAGCTGGGTGTGGGGCTCCAAATGCAGTTGTGCTGAGTGATAACAGTGCCCGAAGGGGTTTGCTGTTTGTCACTAGCAAAGCGTTGTGAGAGACAGCCCAGGCTGGAGAGTTAAGGGGGCGCAGAGGTCCCATAGTCCCAGGCTGCACCCCGGGGATCCCGTCACACCCCATTCCTGCAAGTCCATCCACTATTTCCTGCACATTGCTGAGGGTCATGGTCCTGAATAGCAGGAGATGATTAATTGCCCTGCACGCTTGCGTGACAACGCCCCCCCCATGGATTTTCCAACTCCATAATGATTTCCCACTGACCGGTAGGAATCCACCATTGCAAATTTCCACAGTACGACCATCCCTCGCTTCTCAACTGTCAGTGCAGCTCTCATTCTGGTATACATAACGCTGGTGTGTTGCGGCAAGCTTGGCACACAGATCCAGGAACGTGGCCTTTCACAGTCAAAAGTTCTGCAGCCACCACTCGTCATCCCAAACCTGCATTGTGCAATGCCACAAGTCAGTGCTCATCTCTCAAGCCCAGAAGCACCGCTCCACTATCTGCAGCTGCTCTGTGAATGCCACCAACAACCATTAATTCATTTAAGCTACACCTCAGCAATCCAAAGAAATCATCATGCCCCCTTTTGTTTCGGTTCTTCTTGCAGCTCTGCAAATACCAGACGATAGTTCGTCCTGTGTTTGTAACATGGATTAACTACAGCAACAGAAAAACCCCTTCCATCATTGTACAAGTGCTACAGTGGGGACAAGCCCTCAGTAACAAGATTACTACAGCAGGACATTATGTTGTTCCAACTCACTGCCTAATATGGTTAGAAGGAACTGAGTCGCAGTTAGGGTTACGGTGCCCTTTATGCCCTTGGAGGAGAGAGGGCAAATTGTGAGAGCATGCAGGGCTCATGCATGACCCCTGTTGGACATGGCTAGTGAAAATGTTCCAAACTCCTGTGCTGGAACAGATGGACATGGACACCATAAGTGGGATCCACATTTGCAGTAGCTTGATGAAGAACTTTGGTTATAACAGCTTTTGGTAATGTTTGGAAATGTAAATCCTGCATGAAAAGTAAATACTTGACTGCAGACGACATAAAATCTCCATCAGACCCAGTTTCCTGGAGATCTGTGTCAAAGCTTCTAAATTTCTTGTGAAGAGAAGAAGGGAGCTATTGTTCTATTTCCAGCTCCAACCACAGAAATCCTACCATTTGCTTTGGTCTAGCTTATTTGAAAAAAACTCATATGCCACAATAACACACATCACTTTAGAAAATGTATTCTATTGCTCCCAAACCCTACTGCCAAATCAGCCATGCTGCCTGGGACCCAACCAAGGCTTTAGGCTGGTGGTTAATGTCCCATATACACCAGGATCTCCACTAAGGGGGACTGCAGTTCCCTCTCTTCTGCTTTTAACAGCAGAGCAGCTCCCATTCCTTAACCTCTATAGCTGTCAAGAAAACCTTTGGCCAAAAAAGTTGCCATAGGAGAGAACAGGTTACGCTTGAAATACAAGGTAAAGGAACTAGGGGACAGGGAACAGAGGCTGCCCTGAAGGTGGCCACTATCGGTATCTTGGCCTGACTGATGTAGAGAAAATAACTTTTAACCACCTTGCAATGCAAGAAAAGCTGGATAGGGAAAACTGAAGCAAATGTCAGTGGTAATATGTACTTTTCTAGACAGCTTTTGACTAACTATCACCTGAGGAAAACTTTTGGGAGCTAGATCCAATTAGCTATAACACCTAAGGCTACATCTACACTACAGGGGGGGAGTCGATTTAAGATACGCAAATTCAGCTACGTGAATAGCGTAGCTGAATTCGACGTATCGCAGCCGACTTACCCCGCTGTGAGGACGGCGGCAAAATCGACCTCTGCGGCTTCCTGTCGACGGCGCTTACTCCCACCTCCGCTGGTGGAGTAAGAGCGTTGATTCGGGGATCGATTGTCGCATCCCGATGGGACGCGATAAATCGATCCCCGAGAGGTCGATTTCTACCCGCCAATTCAGGCGGGTAGTGTAGACCTAGCCTCAGTCTCTAGTGATGTTGTATTGAAGCATATAAAACACAACACAAAACAGGCAAGCTAAGCAAAACCAGAATGATAGGAGGTAGGTCTGCTGCCTAGGCTTCCTGAAAATCTGGAATTTTTAATGCTTACATAGTGAAAGTTAAGCCTCCTGGAGTCAAGCTAGGTTAAACAAACAAACAAACAAAAAACTTAATTCATAGTTCTGTGAATGCTAATCTACACCATTAAAACAGACAGCACTGTCCCACACCCACTCAATTAAAACAAAATGAGAGAACCTTTTTTCTGAGATACACATCCTTTGGATCTCTGGGTCCATTTGGGTTTGACTTGCTTTGTTTGTATTGGGAGCTGATTGTCTGTCTGAGTCTAAGCTCTGAACATGCTGCCAGTGCACAATAAACTATCATAACCCAGAGACTATACTACAAGTTCATAGTGCCGGTTTTGGCACTGTTTCCACTTCATGTCATACTACACTTGTGTGTTTCTCTCAGAAGCCTGTACCACTGTTGTCTCCCACTGTAGACTTTGGCTTAGCACGCCTCACCTCTATCCATAACGAGGACTGTCATCATTCCAGGCTGATCCGGCATGCTCCTTGATTTTCCACTCACCCTAGGTATCAACACCTTCTGACAGACCATCACATGCTAAAGAGCACCTCCTTGTGGAGGGTCTCATTTATTAACAAAAGGCATTGCAGAACATAAAACGTTCACCCCAACATCTCAGATTGGTGACTGGGTGATTCTTAGTCCATCTGTCCCCACCTAAGTCCAGCATTCACCTCTACCCAAGCTCTTCCCTAGGGGTTCTCTCAGTTCTGGTCTCTGCCCCTGGTGGTAGGCCTCCTGCTCCTATTGGAATAAGATCCTTCTCTGGAGTCAGGTGTTCAGGAAGGTCTGCCCATTGTGACTCTTCTCCAGGGACAACAGGTGATCCTTGCCAGACCCGGCCTTTTTGGGTGCCTTCTGACAGTGGCTCTCTGTCTAGGAGGCTCTCCTCCCTTGGAGCACCTCTTACAGGCGCCCCATTCTGATGGGTTCCCCAGAGAGCTCACCCTATAGAACACTCTGACTCACTCAGGCTTCTCCTGGGAGCTCCTCTTCCACAGGAGCTTCCTGTCTCCTGTTGAAGTTTTCCTCTAACTGAGCTTGGATAACCTTTGTTAGGCCCGGTTCTTTACTACTCAGCCACCTGGGGCAGTCAACTACGACAGGTGGGGCCTTCATAAAGCAGACTGGACCCTAACCCCTGTAAAGGGCAGCTTCTCCATGACAAGGATAAAACCATGTTAGCTGGTCTGTGTTTAAAGATAGTTCAGGTGAGGCAGAAGCCTAGCTCAGATGATTGTACAAGTAGGGTATAAGGATGCAGGAAAGGCAGAAGAAACTGCCCAGAAATACCCACTCAAGCAAAGCCAACAGACAAGAAAGAGGGCTTCCAGACATAGTTATTGTGCATGTTGTGTCCTAAGTTCCTCGTCTCAGAGAGACCAGCTGCCAGAGTAGTATGAGCACACCTAGCATCTATACATGTATTTTGTCTGATACAGGGATCAGGTTCCTTGGAAACTTTAAGACCGGATAATTCAGAGAGGCCATTTGGAATCTTTCTAGTCTGAGCACTGAACACTCTCCAGGCAATGGTGGTTTGAAGTTTTCCTCTCACCACCCTACTTTTTGGATAAGTCCAAATGCATAGGGTCCGTGTTAGCATCATTCTTCAGCTGCAGCATGGGGTTGGGAATTTAGGCAGTGGATGGCATTTTGCCACCTCTGTGGACCTAGTGGCTTGGAACATGCTGCTTCTTTGGTGAGGGAGCCTGGTGGTCAGTTTTATAGACACTTCCACTCACAACATACCAGTAGGAATATTGACTATAGATTTGTTTCCTCATGAAATTGTTCCAAAGAGTATGGGTCTTTTGGGGTGGGAAGTGGGACTCATCAGTTTAGCGCAGTGGTGCCCAAACTTTTCCTATTGTGCCTCCTGTGACACTGTATGGAATATAGATGACCATTTATAATACTATTGATACCAATATTACAAAATTGCAATGAAACTTACAAGATATGCCATATAAGTTATCCGTTGGAAAGTTATGATTTGCTAAGTATGATAATCTTGTTTATATGTATGTATCATCTTTGTAGTGTGAGTTATACATGTGTGATATATATGTACCTCAAACTTGTGCTGTGTTTCTGGGTTACACCCCCCCCAGACGGATTAGGGCAATCAGCTGTACAATTAACCCACTGAGAGAAGCCAGGGGCTATGCCTGTGAGTCAGCAGGACATGTAGGGACAGGCCTGTAGACAGGGGACTCCAAGAGCTTTTCCATGCCCATGCGCTGTGAGTTTGTGTTTGGGACAAAGGACATACAAACCTCATGGCAAGGATATAAAAAGGCAGCTGCATCTTCTCCATTTTGTCTTCAAACATCCTTTTCACCTCTGGAGTAACTTCTCTATAAACTGAAGCTTTGAACAAAGGACTGATAGAACCATCCAAGCTTTGGATGTGTTCCAGAGGGACTTTACAACCCAGCAAACTCACCAATTCTGCTAAGAACCTGAAATATGGACTCTGAAGTCATATGTATGTAATGTATCTGAGTGCTTTTCCATTTAACAACACTTGTTCTTTTCTAACCTTTAGTTTTAGATACTAAAGGATTGACTGGCAGCATGGTATTTTGGGTAAGATCCAAACTAGTATTGATCTGGTAATGTGGCTGGCCCTTTGGGGATCAGAAGAACATTTTGTATAGTGACTAAAGATTTTAATAACTTCTCACTTTACTGGACCTATTTTCTGATTGGGAGCCTGAGACTGGAATGCAATAAAGGGGGCTGTGTGATTTCTTTTTCTTGGCTTCATGATAACCAGTGTGGGGGATCAGGAGCACAGTTTGTGACTGGTTGGTGAATCTAACTACAGTGTTAACTGCTAGTTTTGGGAGAATCTGCTCTCCTTTTTGCAGCCTGCCCTGTCCATGGCATTTTCAGTGTGGTCTACCCTAGGCACCTCCGGTCACACCCCCACTTACCAGTAATGGAATCTGTCTGCGCTCCTCCTCCATTACTGCACAATCAGCTCAGCAGAGAAGCTTGGGATGAAGGCAATGCTGGGGATGAGGGCGGAGAGGAGATGAGGGCAGAGCTGGCCTGGGGGGCGGAGCAGGGGGCAGAGCTGGGACCAGGAGTGGGAGGGGAGCCAGGAGCGGAGCCATGGCCAGGAGCGAAGTGGCAGCTGGGAGCAAGGGGCGGAAGCCAGGCCAGGGGCAGGACCATAGCTGCAGCCAGGAGCAGGGGCAGAGTGGGGCTGGGTGGCATTCCATCCCCATGGGGGGCGGCCCGGGCCCCCCCATGCACCCCCCAAACTTTCCTCTGGGAACCCCCACAGTTTGGGGACCATTTGTTAAGAGAGATCTTCCTAGGTACTAACTATAGCAGCATTTTCCAAGGCTGCAATATTCTGGGACTCCTGGGTATGTGTTTGTTGCAATGATGCTGCACTGGTTTGACAATAAAACAGTGGCTTGACAACAAAACTCTCAATCTATATGGCCCCCTCCCTCTATAAAATGAGAATAATAAGAAATATTGCAAGACAATGTTCACAAAGCTCTTGGAGTCCCTGATGGAAGGGATAGCAGAAATAAAGTGGTGTGTTGTTTACCTGGCTAAACACTTCCGGCCCCCAGCCCAATAAAAAGTGCCAGGTCTTCCTCCCATATAATGTCAGTAAGGGGATGGAAGAAGTTTTATAAACTGCCAAACCTTCCCACCTTTAGAAGGGGTATGCAAATATGTCTTAGGCCCCTCGTATCTTATTTTGTACAGGCCCACAAAATCTAGGCCATCCCTACCTGCAGCATTTGCTTTATCCATTTTTTCCTGCATCTGTGTGGTTGAGATTAGCCTTAGAGAAGATAACTATCTTCAGGGTTAGCTCTGGTTCCTTCATCCCATGCTTTAAGCTTGACCCTTTTCTGTTCAATGGAGGTTCCTTTGGCTGAAGAATTTCAGTTCTGACACTATTCCAGTACATCCATCTAGGGTTAAGGAGGAGAAAAGAAGCATAGTCTACTGCATGTGGAGTTGCTTACTGGCAATTTGTGGAATTTCTCCTCTTCTTACTTTCCTTGCTTTCAGTGGAGTTCTGCTGCTTGGGAAATATTATTGTAGACGGAAAGGGCCATATATGACTTGGGTGCTTTCAATTTGTTTTTGCCTCCTTGCTTCCATGTAGGTGGAATCGTCATGATTAGGGCAGTAGTGAGGTCTCACAATGGGACCTGATCCTCTTGAATCAGGAAAAGGGATTGCCAGCACTGCCCAGCAATGGAAGAACTTTTTCCCCCCTCAGTGAAGTTGTTAACAAAGGAGAAGTGGGGTCAATGCAGGAGAGCAACCTAGTCCATGATTGTTCTCCCTCATTCAAAGACCTTTCGCAGTGCATCAGGTTGCAGCCTCTCTTCTGGCTATGCCAGAACCTCTTATTGAGGTTGTGGCTATATTTCTGCCCATACCTCCTGATTTACGCAGATCCCGTCTGTTGCCCCACCAAGATGTGAGGCCTCCTTATCAAATTCCTCCTGGTACCGGCCAAGATGGTCATCCATCACATCAGGAGGAGGACACTGGATAGGGGGTGCTCTGCAACTGTGGGGCCTACTTCCGATTCCTTGTTAAGTCACATGTCTGAGCTGAGTTCCTCTGGGCAGGGGCAGTGGAGCGTTCCCAAAAGTGGGGGGGCCAGGGCCCCCTGCCCCCGAGGCCCCTCCTTTTCCCCCAAGGCCTCACCCCTGCCCAAGCCAGAAGCCGAAGTGGGGTCAGGGAGTCCAGCCCCACCCTCCCCCAGCCCTCTTCTCGTGTCCCTGACCCCCGGGAGGCCCAGGCTCCCCACAGCTGCCGGCGTGGCTCTTACCCCGACCCAGCTCAGCCCAAGGGATGGAGCCTGGAGCCACAGTGCGGCCATGGTAAGAGCCACACGGGCAGCAGTGAGGATGGGTGGGGTCCCGTGGCAAAAAGTGGACGGGCCCTTGTCCCCTCTGTTCCAGTGCCCCTGCCTCTGGGTGGTGTCCACTGACTCCTTAGTCCTCTTTCAGAAGCAGTAGGTGTAGTCGGGGGGTTCTCTGTTCAGTGTCCCCTTCTGGTTACCTGAATTTCACCCTATGACCTTATCCCTGGTTTTTCATTTGGTGTCCCCAGGATTTACTTTGTGGCCTGGGTTCTGTGGCACCTCCCCCTTTGTTGAGGGGAAGGACTTTAGCTAATGGTAGGGCTGGGGCTCCCGGGGCAACCACAATAGGTACTCTAGGGAAATTTGCAAAGAATTTCTCACTGTTAGTAACGCCAGTTCAGCTCACAGACAAGGACAAAGTGTACGTGACCCCCAATGAATCTCAATCCTGGCATGGAGCCTTCACAGCTAATATTCTGAGGATTAGAGGGTTAAATCTTCATGCCCAGTTCAGTACTTAGCCTCTCTTCTGAAACTACCATAAAGAATGGCCAGCACTGATAGTTTTCAAATGTAAAACCCCACTATCAACTCTGTAGGCAGTGTGGCCCAGCAAACCAAACTGCCTTTTTACTGATCTGTAGAGATTTAAACCAGTGATCTGGAGGTGGAAGGCTCTGCATCTCTTACCAAATGCCTGCAGTATCCCTGCCCTCCTATAAAATATTAATAGGCAATGGAAAGATTAGAAAACCAAGAATAATAAATTCTGGGGGTAGGGTGGGGTGGGGAAAACAAGTTGCATTATGTGACAAACTTGAATGGAACCGAACAGAGTATAGGACAAAATATATCTAAGATGTGCATGCCCTTTCAGCTAAGATCAAGAGTGGAATTGATTTAATATTCTGATTATGCCCTGCTTTAGCAGAGGAATGGACTAGATCAGCGGTTCTCAACTGGGGGTCTGTGGCCGCCTGAGGGTCTGTGAGCCCCTTCAGGGGGGCCGTGGAGCCCCGCGGCTGAAACCCAGTGCCCCGAGCCTCAATGTTAAAGCCAGGAGCGGCGCGGGGCTGAAGCCGGCAAACCTCCTCCCCACAAGCCAGGAGCTGCAGGGGGCTGAAGCAGGGAGCCCCAGCGCCCCCACCCTCTGCTGAAGCTGGGAACTGCACTGCAACTCTGGGAGCACCCACCAATACTTAGCCCTTAGCTACCCCCTGCCTGCACCCTGAGCTACTCCCCTCACTTTACACAGCCCCTAGCTACCCCCTCCTTGCACCCTGAGCAGTTTTCAAACTCTTTGAACTGAGTCTCCCTCCCCCCACCCCCTTAAATTATATTTTTTGGTTGCGTCCCCCCACAGCTCAGACAGGCTGGGTAGCCTGCTAAGTAAGTCAGGGGGTGGAGGTGCCTCTCCCTCCCTGGACCCTGCTGTGCAGAGGTGGCTCTACCCCCCCCAGCCCTTGCCCCCCAAAAAATAGAAGTAAAACTATGCCTATGCCCAAGAGTCCCCCGCCCAGCCCGGAGCCCCCACCCCTACCAGGCCCTGGCGTTTTTATAGCATGTTGAGGGGGTGCCTCCGCAAGAAAAAGGTTGAGAACCTCTGGACTAGATGATCCAAAAGACATAATATTTTTAACTTCTATGATCCTATTTTGCATGGTTTTTAAAGCTTTTTTGTTTGCCACGAGATGGCACTGTTGCCGGCTAACAAATTTCTCTGCTGATAAGCTCCATGCTCTGTAGCAGACTAACTCTGGTTCTACAACAAAGACCTCCTGAATGTTTTTTAAAACATATTTTCCCCTAAAGGAGTCACTTGGCAACAGCAGCACAATGCTCTTCTCTAGTAACTATGAAGTCTCACAATTTGTAACCTCTTTCTCCCCTTCTCCTCACCTCTTTCCTTTAGTACTGTCCTTTCCCTCAGAAGTCTTATTTCTTGCCTTTTCTTCAGTTGCTCCCTGGCCACCTCTATTTCATAAGTCTTGCAACAATACTTCCAATCTGATGAAACCTGCTTAGAGCAAGATTTGGGCCTCATGGGCTACGAGTGGGGGAATCCCCTTGTGATTTCTCTATTTCAGAGTAAGTGGAAAGAATTTATTCTTAGAACAAAAACAAGTCACCTGCAGGAACTACTCAGCTTGATCAAGTTTCTGTTCAGTGTGGCCCAGCAAACCAGGGATTTGGAGCAATCAAATTTTTGAATTGCTCTCTCCGGCTCCAGCTCCGGGCAAAAACCTACTGCTCTGCTATCCAGCTCCGGGCTCCGCTCCAAAGCCCTGCTGCAAACCACTCCACTGACTACAACAGGACCATGTGTTGCACTGATCTGAACTTATATAGAAGGTTAGCAGTTTCTCATTCTTGTGGGAGCCTGATATTTATTTTGGGCAGCCATGCTCCAAACCCCGACGAGCATATATGCTTTTCTCACTGAAGTAGTCTGGTGATATTCAGCACTATCTTGAGGAAGGAGGATGTGCAATGTTGAGTTAGAATCTTGCAGGACTGCTTCATCTTCTATTAGTTGACTTTCAGGGGGAAGCTGGATGGAAGGCGACCATGCTTTAGTTACAATTATGTTGGGTCACAACAGGAAAGGGAAGGAAGCAAAGGAATGAAATAGAAACAGATTAAACGGATCAAACACAAGTAAATATGTACGTGTTAAAATAAATCCCCCTCCTGTTATCTCCCTCCCGCCTCTGCTTTGCCTGTCAACAGTATATTGTCTACTTAGACCCCAATCCTGCAAACAGTTTTGCACATTCTTGCATATAAACTAAGCACATGTGTTTGCACAACTGGGGTCTTAGGTCCCATACAAGGAGCTTGCAGTCTATTTTCCTACATGTCTTTAAAGATTCTAGAATGCTTCTGGGTGCTTTTGCTATCCTGAAAGATAGTAACAATAAAGGTATGTCTACGCTACCCGCTGGACTGGCGGGCAGCAATCGATCCAGCAGGGGTCGATTTATCGCGTCTAGTCTAGATGTGATAAATCAACCCCTAAGCACTCTCCCATCAACTCCTGTACTCCAGCGCCACGAGAGGTGCAGGCAGTCGACAGGGGAGCGGCAGCAGTTGACTTACCGCAGTGAAGACATCGCAGTGAGTAGGTCTAAGTACGTCGACTTCAACTACGTTATTCATGTAGCTGAAGTTGCGTAACTTAGATCAATCCTCTCCCCGCCCCTCAGTGTAAACTAGGCCTATGGGGGGAGAGAGGGGTGAGGAGGTGCTGGAAGAAGGAGAGGCAATGGAGGAAAGGAAGAAGAGAGAAAGACAGACAGACAATGGAGGAAAAACAGAAGAAATACAAAGATGAGCAAGAGAGAGAGCTCATTCCACCAGATAGTGTCCTAGTTCCAACCTGCACTTGTCTACAATAACAATGAAATGTGTGTAACAAATAATCAGAAGCGATAGGGAAGGCAAACAAAGGTCGTGATAGGACCACATGGTTACACAGACTAAGGCCATGTCTACAAGTAGTTGGGTCTGAGTCAGGTTTTTTATGGGATATCAACAAACACTACATGATGACATCAGTAATGTCTCTAAATGGCCTGCCTAGTCATTATCAGTTGGCACCGTAGTAGACTTGATGGGAACCTGGAAGGGAGGATAGGGTAGTGGCTTTATGAACTAGTTGGCTACATAAGGGGAAGCATGGAAGGAAGCATAAAAGCACTTCTAGGAGATTTGGACAAACAGGCGAGCACCACGGGGCAACAAGAACAGATAAGTAGGATGGCACTACAAGGAGAAGGACCTTACTGGATGGAAAATACTGCTGAAACCAAATGGAAATGTAAGCAGACTCCAGATAGTCAATTAATGGCTACCTCTTATCTGTCTTCTGCCCCCCGCCTCCATTCCAAATTGCAGACTGAATATACCAGTGAACCTGTGCCTAACCCCACCATCAACAGGATCTCCATATAGGGAATCCAAATGTTATGGATGGCTGTTCACAGTCATTCTAAGGGCTATATTGCTCCTTGCATACATTCAAAGCATTTCCCACTGGTTTTTAAATAGATGTCTCATTGCAGGCTGGACTTTTGGGGGGGGGGGGGA